AAGATCTCCTAGAGCATTATAGCCAGTCCATGGCCTGTGCCCCTGGGTGACTTTTTGGGGTTCCAAGTACAGACCTTGAAAGAAAGGGAAAAAATATGTGTGTGTGTTTGTTTGTGTGTGTGTGTGTGTGTGTGTGTGTGTGTGTGTGTAATTAGAAAAGGTAGGTCTTAGGTTATACGGATACCCTTCTGTTCATTTTAGCCCAGGCCATCATGGGCAAAAAAAAATGTTTTATGTGATGACCTCTAGCCAATGACAAAACTACAAGAATGAAAATGAAGGAATGTGACCTGGGGAGAGATTTTTAAAAGAATTAGACACAAGAGATCAAAGAAGAAAGAAATATCAGCATAGAGAGCCTGTTAACAGTTTTGTCAGGTGTTTAAAATTGCATAATTCTCACCGAAAGTTCTCACATAGTTCTCACATTTTTATTAACTGGAGGATGAAATAGAAACGTATTTATTCAGTAAATGAAAACTCTCCCTGAAATTATGGAATATATGTTGCATCTTTCTGACCATCAACATAGTATTTTATCTGACATAGAGTGTACTTTGCATTGTAGCTTCTGGGAAGATCCATCAAAATAGATTATTGGATAATCTGAAGTCTTTCACAGGTGAGTTAATGAGCAATTTAAGAGATCACAGTTTAAATTACTTCATTAGTGTTTTAACCAAGCCACAATACTATGAATTGACTTTTACTTTATTTTTTTAAAGATTTTATTTATTTTTTTACAGAGAGAGAGAAACAAGCAAGGGAAGTGACAGGCAGAGGGAGAGGGAGAAGCAGGCTTTCTGCAGAGCAGGGAGGCTGACCTGGGGCTCTGTCCCAGAACCCTGGGAACATGAACTAAGCCGAGAATAGTCATTTAACTGACTGAGCTACCTAGGCACCCCTAGTAACTGATTTTTAAATGTAGTTTCTTTATTTTAAATGTAGTATTTTATTATAAAATTTGTTTAATTTTTATAGGTAGTTCCCACATTTTATTATATTTTCCAAAACTTAATCTTGAAAGTATAAGTTGAAGTTGAATTCTGGGGTAGATACCTCAAAACATGAAAAGGATGATAGGTAGCTAGTCTGAGGATTAGTTAAACAAGCAAAGAAAACAAAAATAGTTTCTATTTCAGAAAGATTGGGCAATGTTTCCTGATAGAATCAAAATAATAAATAAATGTTCATTATAGTTTCTTTTAAAAGAATGTGTTTTTAGGGGCGCCTGGGTGGGTCAGTGGGTTAAGCCGCTGCCTTTGGCTTGGGTCATGATCTCAGGGTCCTGGGATCGAGTCCCGCATTGGGCTCTCTGCTCAGCGGGGAGCCTGCTTCCCTCCCTCTCTCTGCCTGCCTCTCTGCCTACTTGTGATCTCTCTCTGTCAAATAAATAAATAAAATCTTAAAAAATAAAAAAATGTGTTTTTAGTGAGATTCAGGTAAAAAAAAAAAAATTAGACAAAGGCTGTGCCTAGGATTTGTTTTTGTTTTTGTTTTGCTTTCCCTCTTCCCAGTGCTTAATCCAAAGGAAGAGAAGAGCATAAAGAGAAAGAAGGAGAGACTTACAAGCTCTACCTCTTGAAACCTATGGAGGGGAGTCTCCTGCCACAAGAAGAATGCCTCTGGGCATTCCTGGGTCCTTTGGAAGAGTGGCAGCAGGATTATTTTCTCATTTAACGTGGATTTAATCAGGCTGCCCACTTGATAACATCTTGCTGTGTGTCTTTATCAACTACATCAAGTGTCCCCTTAGAAATGGGACAATGGGGGCACCTGGGTGGCTCAGTGGGTTAAGCCTCTTGCCTTCAGCTCAGGTCATGATCTCAGAGTCCTGGGATCAAGCCCCACATCCGGCTCTCTGCCCAGCAGGGTGCCTGCTTCCCCCTCTCTCTCTGCCTGCCTCTCTGCCTACTTGTGATCTCTCTCTCTGTCAAATAAATAAATAAAATCTTTAAAAAAAAAAAAAAAGAAAGAAATGGGACAATGATAGCCAGAAACTTGTATTGTCAGTCTCTCTGTAGTTGTCTTCCCCTACCTAGCTACTTTTCTCCAGTCTCTAGGCCTCCTGATTTATAGTTTTCATGATAAATTTTCCTTTCCATGCACACCCAGCCTCAGCTCCTGCTTCAGTTTCAGAACATTTTTAACTAAAGTTCCTCTCTGATACCAGTCCAGGTAGTTTCAAAGATAATATATATTCTTTTATACTAATAAGTAGTTTTCTGCGTTAACATATTCACCAAAAAAACTCTGTGTTCATAAACTATGTCACAGCATGGATTCACCAGGCTCAAGGGAATCGTCAAGCTCCAGTGGAAACCAGTACAAGTTTTCTTGCAACTGAGGCTGTTTTCAAAATCTTTCTCTACTATAAATTCCATGAGTTGTCTTTATCTTCAGTGGCAAAATCCCTTCATAAATTATTTCTTGTGCATAGTTTCATCAATGTAAAGCTTAATGTTCCTTAACACAATGTTAAGTTTGCTACTCATGTTTCAAACCAATATATTTTTTTAAGATTTTATTTATTTATTTGACAGAGAGAGATCACAAGTAGGCAGAGAGGCAGGCTGGGGCGGGGGGGGAGGAGCAGGCTCCCTGTTGAGCAGAGAGCCCGATGTGGGGCCCGATCCCAGGACCCTGAGATCATGACCTGAGCCGAAGGCAGAGGCTTTAACCCACTGAGCCACCCAGGCACCCCATCAAAGCAATATTAATAGTACTGAAAAATGGATTCTATTTTTCCTTACTCCTAATTCTTTTTCATTTTAACAGTAAAAAATGTTAAGACAATAGTAATAGAGCACTGATATATTTCTACTATTTTTTCTTTATTTTTCTTTATTTTTAGAGTGAGAGAGCACATGGGTAAATGGGACAGAGAGAGAATGAGAGAGAGACTCTTAGTTAGGCTCCACACCTAATTCAGAACCAGACAGGGGGCTTGATTTCATGACCCTGAGAGCATGACTTGAGCCTAAATCAAGATTCAGACACTTAAACAACTGAACCTCACAGGCACCCCAATATTTCTAGTATTTAATGTGCTTTTATACTTTAATGGTTTTTTCTCACTTTTTCTGTCTCTTTCCTAAGGAGGGAAGGTTGAAAGAAGTAAAGTCAATACCGTTCTAGAAAACATGGGAATCGAGCTCACAGGAAAGGAGCTTCAAAGTCTAACAGATAACCTATCAGTTGATGGTGAGCACTATAGTCATCACTTAACTTTCTGCAGAGCTTTACCTGTGATTGTGTATATGAGAATTTTTGAAATAAGGATTATTTGATGCTAAAAAGAAATGTCAGTATCTTAGAGTTGAACCGATTTCTAAAGTAAAAAGAAATACTGCCTCTTTTTTTTTATTTAAAATTAACAACTTGTTGTCTTGTAGATAACAGAGGAACCAGGGTGTTTGCAGAATAGTTAGAATGTAGAATAAAAATTTTATGGATTAAGTTTGAAAGTGATCATATGCTTGCTAACCCTTTATTTCTTAGCTCCTCCAATCCTGAAACATTTTTTTTAATTTTACATGCCCTCCCTGATTGAATTCCCACTTTTAACCATTTATTTGAACCATCAGATTTTTTTTTATAATTATTTTTTTCAGCATAACAGTAGTCCTTGTTTTTGCACCACACCCAGTGCTCCATGAAATCCGTGCCCTCTCCAATACCCACCACCTGGTTCCCCCAACCTCCTACCCCCCCTGTCCCTTCAAACCCCTCAGATTGTTTTTCAGAGTCCATAGTCGAACCATCAGATTTTTTAAAGGTTTTATTTATTTATTTGAAAAAGAGAAAGAGCAAGAGACAGAGCATGAGAGCAGGGAGTGACGGGGGCAAAAGGAGAAGCAGACTCCCTGCTGAGCAAGAAGCCAGATGTGCTGCTCTATCCCAGGACCCTGGGATCATGACCTGAGCTAAAGGCAGATGCTTAAATGACTGTGCCACCCAGATGCCATGAACCATCAAATTTTATATTCTTTCCAGTCTTTCCTTCAGTCTTCAAGCTATTTTATTCTAAATCTTATAAGACATTTATATTTACTCACCTCAAACAGCCATTCAAACATAATTTTCTTCCATCCAAGTACTAACCAGGCCCGACCCTGCTTAGCCAAACATAACTTTCTTAATCTTATATATTCCACATCTTCTTAAACTGATCCTTTTTTCTACCTCATAGACCCTGCTGGAAACATATCCACTTGATTACCTTATGCTGTCTATTTAAGCCACTAAATATTCCTTAAATCCATTCCTACTTCTTAGCTCTGTATCACTGTCTTATTTTTATTTCTTTTTGTCTCTGCTTAGACTGCTAGGTAACTCTCTCTCTCTCTCTGCCTACAATTTTGTTACTTCATATCTACTCTTCACATGATAGACAAAATGATCCATTCTGTATAAATCTGATCATAACTACTTGGAGTTTCTTTCTCTCTCTCTCTACTCTTCCCCTCTTCTACTTTTCTCTACCTTCTTTCAAAATGTTGAAGTACCTCAAGGCTCAAATAGGTTCTCTAAGTGATCTTACCTGATTTCTTAGCTCTAAATTTTATTTGTATGATAATGAAGCACTGATATATATTCCTAACCTGAAACTCTCCTTGGGTCTCTCTTTGGTTTATCTGTTACCTATTTGCAATCTCCATTTGGATGGCTCAAATAATCTGTAACTTGTTTAAGTCTGAGCTCTTGATTTTCCTACTAAAACTCATTCCTTCCCAATGTCATTACAAGGCATCAACACTGTAATTCATTTGTCTTGTGATGTGTTTATCAAGCTTTCATATCAAGGTAGCACTGGCCTCATAGAATGAACTGTATTTTTCCTGCCTCTGTTTTCTAAGATAATCTGTGTAGAGTTGCTATTTTCTCTTTAAACATTTGAAATAATTAACCAAAGAAGCCATCCAGGCCTAGGCCTTTCTTTCTGAGAAAATTTCTAATAGTTTAATCAGTGTTCTTATTTGTTATAAAAAATAGTCTAACAGATAACCTATCAGTTGATGGTGAGCACTATAGTCATCACTTAACTTTCTGCAGAGCTTTACCTGTGATTGTGTATATGAGAATTTGAGAATATGAGAATAACTGTTTCTTCTTGATTCAGTTTTGGCAGTTTGTGTCCTTTTCAGGATCTATTTCATGTAAATTGTTTAATTTCTGGCATAGAGTTAATCATAGTATTCCCTTTATAGCCTTTAACTACTGTAAATTTAGAAGGTTATCCCTTCTTACATTACTAATATTAGTTATCTGTGTCATCTCCCTTTTTCTTGTCAGTCTAGGTTAGGATTTCCCAATTTTTGTGATGTTTGCAAAGACCAAACTTTTGGTTTTATTGATTTTCTCTGTCATTTTTCTATTATCTGTTGCTTTATATCCACTCTAATCTTTATTTTCTTCCTTCTGCTTATCTTTGCTTTGGCTTGCTTTTACTTTCCTAGATTAAGTAAAGCCATAATTATTGATTTGATCTAAGATAGTTATTTGAGATTATAAATTTTACTCTAAGAACCACCTTCACTGCATCCCATACATTTCATTTTCATTCAGATCAAAATATGTTCTAACTTCTCTTGTAATTTCCTCTTTGACCCATGGGTTATTTTGAAATGTGTTGTTTGATTTCAAAATATTTTTGAGTTTCTTAGATTTCCTTTGGTTGTTCATTTCTTTTTTTTTTTTAAGATTATTTATTTTGGGGGGGAGGGACAGAGGGAGAGAGAGGATTCCAAGCAGACTCAGGGCTTGATCTCATGACCCCGAGACCATGACCCTGAGATCATCACCTGAGCCAAAATCGAGAGTCAGAGACTTAATCCTCTGAACCACCCAGGCTTCCCTGGTTGTTCATTTCTAATTTAACTCTGTTATGGTCAGAGAACATACTTGGGATGATCTCAGTCCTTTAGATTGCTTTATGATTTAACATACAAAATAATCAAATGCTCTTTAGAGTCTCCAAAAGCTTTTATGAGTTATCCCCTTATAAATAAAGGATTCTATGATCAAAATGTGTGATTTAAACATTTTTAATATAATTTTTTAATATAATTCTAACATTTGAGTCATCTCAGGGTTGGCATGTGTTGGTTACCTTTTCGCTTGGTAATTGATCTCATTTTTCTTAGCTCTTTGTGTGTTAAATAATTCTGAATTATATCCTTAACCTAGTTGACTGTTACGTTGTATAGACCCTGAGTCCTGTTAAACTTCCTTGAACAACGTTCACTGTTTTTATTTTAGTAGATAATCAACTCACTGAGATTGAGAACACAAATTCCATCTCTTCTTCTCTGGATAATTCCAATCTCAGTTCACTCTTCAAAGCTTTGTTTTACTGCTTTGGGTCTATATCTTGCATGTGCCACTTGGGTTAGTCTGACATGGGCCCTGGTTTAACCTTAATTAAGTTCTCAAAGCCTTTGCTATAATACTTTGTGTCTGTCCCATGCATACACAATTCAAAAGTAAGTCCAAGAATTTGCAGATTCATATATAGAATTAGGGGGTCCCTTTCTCCATTTTTCTCTTCTCTCTGGAATTCCCCCATGTTTTCCAACCTGAAGGAGGGCCTCCTTTTCCAGGTTTCCCTGGCCAGGGGGATGGAGTTTTTTTTTATCAGAAGTTTAGCTTCCTACTCTGCCATGTTCTGAGACTGGGGCTCCACCCTCAGGACGAAGTCATTAGGGAAAAGAGAAAGAAAACCAAAAACAGAAGGCTTACCCCCTTGCCAGTCATTTGTGCAAGTTTTGGTTCTCCTATGTATTATCGTGTTGTTGCTTTCCATGTTTTCTTTAGAGTTTTTAGTCTAAGCATCATGAAAAATAAGCTGTAGAGGGCTGATAATGTCATGACAGAATCAGAACCAGCCTCCTATTTCATCATTTAAAAAATATATGTTCTTTCATATTTTGATAGGTGCATTAGGATACATCTTGTAATTGTTGTCAATCACGTAATAGAGTTATCACATACTTGTCATTGTGTCTGCATATGTGAACTTGCTTTTAGGTCATCATTGTGGCATATTACCACTTTAAGTTGTGTACTGTCGGTACCACATGTGTTGAGCTTAATTGCTGTTTAAAAACACATAAAAAAAAAAAGTCTCCAAAATTTTGCAGTATGGTTAACAATTGAACAGAAAGTTTTATATATAGGAAAAGCATGGAAATAGTGGCAAGGTATAAATTTGTTTTTAGTGAATAAAACAATGTATCATTGGAAGAATGATCACAATTCCATTTTTCCAAATTTTATTGCAAAGCTATAATGAAATACTTTTTGGACCTAAGGAAGGAACATGCCCACAAGTAAAGAATCTCTATTACCTGTTGTTAATGATACATATACAGAAGAACTTCCTGTGATACACTATATACTGCTGTTGAGGCAAAAGAAACTGCCAAATCCTTCAAAATAAGTGGAACAAAATTCGAAGCATCAAAAAGATGGGCATCAAACAGCAACTTGTCAAAATTTCTTATTAACTTTAATTGCACTAAAAAGAATGAAATACCTAGGAATAAACTTAACCAAAGAGGTAAAATATGCTTGGAAAAACTATGAAACATTGGTGAAAGAATTTGAAGATGACACAAAAAAAATGGAAAGATATTCCATACTCGGGGATTGGAAGAACAAAATTGTTAAAATGTCCATCCTACCCAAAGCAACCTACAAATCCAGTGCAATCCTTATCATGATACCAATAACATGTTCTACAAAACTAGGACAAATAATCCTAAAATTTGCATAGAACCACAAAAGACATAAATAACATAAAGACATAAAGTAATCTCAAGAAAGAAAAACAAAGCTGGAGATATCACAATTCCATTTTTCAAGGTATACTATAAAGCTATAGTCATCAAAACAGTATGGTACTGGCACAAAATAGACACCTGGCTCAATGGGACAGAATAGAGAGCCCAGAAATAAACCCCCTGATGATATGGTAATTAATCTATGAAAAAGGAGGCAAGAATATACAATGTGCAATGAATAGTCTTTTCAACAAATGGTATTGGGGAAATTGGACAGATTGAAACTAGACCACTTTCTAATACCATACACAAAAATAAACTCAAAATGGATTAAAAACCAAGGTGCCTGGGTAGTTCAGTCAATTAAGTGTCTGCCTGTGGCTCAGGTCATGATTCCAGGGTCCTGGGGTAGAGCCTGCACCAAGATCCCTGCTCAGCAGGGAGTCTGCTTGCCCCTCTCCCTTGCCCCCCCCCCCGGTCCCGCTCTCTCTCTCACTGCCTCTCTCTCTCTCTCTCTCTCTCTCTCTCAAATAAATAAAATCTTCTTAAAAATGGATTAAAACCTAAATATCAAACCTAAAATGATAAAAATCCTAGAAGAGAACACAGGTGGTAATCTCTCAGACATCTCTCGGACATCAGCCATAGCAGTATTTTTCTAGATATGTCTTCTAAGGCAAGGAAAACAAAAGCAAAAATAAACTATTAGGACTACACCAAAATAAAAGCTTTTGCACAGTAAAGGAAACCATCAATGAAATAAAAAGCCAACCTACCAAATGGGAGAGGATATTTGCAAATGATATATCCAATAAGGGGTTAGCATCCAAAGTATATAAAGAAGTTTTACAACTCAACACCAAAAAAACAATATAATGGCAGAGGATCTGAAAAGACACTTTCCCAAAGAAGATATAAGATAGCCAACAGACCCATGAAAAGGTCCTCAGTATCACTCATCATCAGAGAAATGCAAATCAAAACCACAGTGAAATATCTCACACTTGTCAGAATGGCTAAAATAAAAAACCTAAGAAATAAAAAGTGTTGGTGAGGTCATAGAGGAAAAGGAACTCTCACGCACATTGGTGGGAATATAAATTGATATAGCTACTGTGGAAAACAATATGGAGTTTCCTCAAGAAATTAGAAATAGAAATACTATAATAATAATAATATAATAAATCCAATAATTCTACTATTGGGTATTTACCCGAAGAAAATGAAAATGCTAATTCAAAAAGCTCTATGCACCAGTGATTCTGAGTTGAAAAGATGAACAGCAATTAAAAAGAATTAAGCTCTAAATATGAATTTATAGTAATTGCTAGTTTATTTCGCATATTCTTCTGTTTGCATAAGAGTATTTTAAAAATCTGTTTGAATCTAAACATCATTCAATAAATATAAAATAAACATTCTAAATGATAAGGAAAAAAGTAAGTAAATTTCCAGGCCTAGATGATTTTCATATTCTTATTGCAGTTTTTCATCTATCTTTTGAAGTAGGACACATGTATATTTAAAATACTTTGCTTAAGAATAACAGATATAGAGATGAGGGGGAGGAGTCAAGATGGCAGAGAAGTAGCAGGCTGAGACTACTTCAGGTAGCGGGAGATCAGCTAGATAGCTTATCTAAAGATTGCAAACACCTACAAATCCAACGGGAGATCGAAGAGAAGAACAGCAATTCTAGAAACAGAAAATCAACCACTTTCTGAAAGTTAGGACTGGCGGAGAAATGAATCCAAAGCGACGGGAAGATAGACCACGGGGGGAGGGGCCGGCTCCCGGCAAGCGGCGGAGCAACGGAGCACAAAATCAGGACTTTTAAAAGTCTGTTCCACTGAGGGACATCGCTCCAGAGGCTTAACTGGGGTGAAGTGCACGCGGGGCCAGCGTGGCCTCAGGTCCCGCAGGGTCACAGAAGGATCGGGGGTGTCTGAGTGTCGCAGAGCTTACAGGTATTAGAATGGGGAAGCCGGCTACAGAGACAGAGCCGAGGAGTGAGCTCTAAGCTCGGGTTTACCTTGAACCGGTCGCAGGCTCAGTGAGCTCGGAGCATGGCCTGAGGCCAGGGTGACGGGAGCAATTGGGCGCTGTTCCCTGAGGGCGCACTGAGGAGTGGGGCCCCAGACTCTCGGCTCCTCCAGCCGGAGACTGGGAGGCCGCCATCTTCATTCCTGTCCTCCGGACTCTACGGAAAGCGCTCAGGGAACAAAAGCTCCCGAAAG